GGGGAAAGACCAATTGCGTACCGAAGAACGTTCACATGCTGATAATGATGATTAAGCCCAGTTTTGGTTGTGAAATGCGATAGCGGAGGCCATTTTCGGTCAGGGACTCTCTGTTCATGTTGTGCAGGTGAATAAAGTGACCAGTCTGTCTTTTCCTTTGGAATGGCGCAGTCCGTGGGTAACAGGACGAGCCCCAGCTGGCGTTCAGTACCCAATCTTCCAATTCAGGGCTCGGCAGCAGAGTACCCCATACTTCTGACAAGAAATAGGGGAGCGGTTGTCACCGGAACAGGGAGAAACAGACAGCAATAAAAACATTGGAGAGGAATTCATGAAAACTGGAGCAGACCGTTTTCTCATGGCAACCAATCCGCTTCTCTCTTCAGTTTTAAAATGAAACAGAGAAACTGATAGGTTGCCATAGGCAACTGCTTCAGTTTTTATGAAATCCTCCCATTGTCAGAAGTTCTAACTTCTCACTACATGAGGGGAATTTATCAAAACAGGAGCAGACGAATCTGGAGCAGCTGTGCATGGCAACCAATTAGATTCTCTCTTTCGGTTTCAAATTGTGACTGAAGGGAGATGCTGATTGGTTGGGTGCCCTGTGCAACTGCTTCAGATTCTGTCTGCTCCAGTATTGATACATTTCCTTCTCTGTGTTTTTGTGTGCCCTGAGGGAGAGATTTTATATCACTTCCTGTCCTGACAGTAGGCCAGAGAAAAATCTCCACAATGGGCACACAGACAACAATAATATCCTGATAGAGGCTCTAACTCTCTGGCACCCAAGCTGTGACTCAGAGGCTGCATGGGACCCTGTGGCACTTGGGCCATGTTCACACGTGCCGCAAAACAAAGTGGTTGAGCCGCATTTTTAATGCTTGCCAACCGCCTACCAACACACCAAAAACCAGCCTTAGTTTTTTTTTTTTTTTTTTACTGCACCATGTCACAATGTACAGATAGATTACCTCTGCGCACTGCGGTGCGTTGCAAAGCTGGAGTGCATTTGCAAAGTGCTTTGGGGTGCTGTTCAATATGAATGAAACGCACTGCCGATATCAAGCATTCCTGTAATGTGCCCTAATCTGCGTATCCTGCCGTATATTACCGCATTGCACAGATTGGGGGGAAAAAGGGGCAGCCTGCCATTTGCAAAGGTTTATAAAAAGCCGGCAGCCAGGAATCCAAGTCTACACTACATGCACCTGACCCCATGATTGTAGACTCCCCCAAACAATGACAGGACATAACAAATCGCTGCAGGAAAGTCTGACATGAACTTCAGCAGAGAGGACTGTGAGAGTGCTGCGACCTCCTCCGCCATATGGAGACAATCTGCTCCCCTCTGCCAGGCGGCCAGAGCTGCGTGGGAGAAAACCGACGCTGCTCCGAACCCAACATACAATTTACTAAATGAAACAGCAGTCCCGACAAACTGACTTTAATGGGAAACAGCCGTGTGTTTCAGGTGAGTACACATGACTCGGGTCAATAGACAGAGCTAACATAGCAAGATAAGGAGACTTCGTGCCAAAAAAAGTGACAGTTATCAGCCGAGTCCAATGAGGTTGGAAAGTGAAAGTCACATCCTTGCGAAAGATCCTTATCCTTATGCGTTTTGTGAAATGAGCCGATTGTGAGATAGTACTGTCAGGTTTACAGGCTTTAAATCCATGTCCTAGATTTGCATATCTGATTGGGATTTCACAAGTTGGCAGAGTCAGCATCGCACAGTCACTGGAAGGTCGCGTTGGGATGCCATTCAGAATGGATGGCACCACATTGCATCAATGCGCGTTTCATGCATTACCAAGTGTTGCGGTAACATGCGTGTTAGCTCGTGTGCATTACCTCATTAGCATGGGATCCCTGCGGCAGGAACTTACGGATTCCTGCGGCAAGAATCCCAGGTTTCCCATTTAGATGCAGCCACTGTACTCGTCCAAGTTAATGACCGGCTGACAGCAGCCGAATGTGCAAGCGGCAGTCCGCGCGTAATCGTGTATGATACAATAACATGCGGTTTGGAATAGCTCACGGTCGCTGGAAGCAGGACAGATGTGTCCAGGCACATTGATCCATTCTAACCTGCATGTAATCATATCACATACACTTCCATGCGGGCTGCCACTTGCAGTGAGCTAACACGCATGCTTCCGCAACACTTGGTAATGCATGAAACATTGAAATCAATGCAACGTGGTGCCATCCATTCCGAATGACATCCCAATGCATCCTGCTGATGACCATACGATGCAGTAATGCAGGTCTGTTTTCTGGGAAGTTGAGGTGCATTGCCAGCCCATTCATTCTGAATGGGCTTCCTAATGTAGTGCATGTAAACATGAAAAATAACACACGGTAATGCCATGTACCACAGCGGCAAAGCGTGAACATCGTCGTACCCCAACATCCGGGAGAGTTGTGAACGACACTGATAAATTGCAGAAATAAAAATCACATAGAGTCCAAAAACACAGGAAGGCCACAGACCTTATTCAGTTATTAGAGGGCAATATTATTTATCTCTGGTCATCAAGAATAGCTGTTTCTGAGCTATTCTTGATGACTTCAGTTGACTGAGCTTCAGTTCTGAGCTCCGGCCGAAAGAAAGGATTGATTAGCGAGGTCTGCAGCAGACCTCACTAATCGTCACTAGAACACCAGGAATCGATCTGCCTCCTCACTGCAAAAAGGTAAATCAGGAGAGGGGGCTCTGTAATTTATTTTAATTGTATATGTGGATGTGCGGTGGTTTTTTAAAATTAATTTTATATGCGAGGGGTGTATTTTTTATGTGTATGGGGTGGTGGGGAGCGTATCATTTTATATGTGTAGGGGTAGTTTTTTTTTTATTTGTATTGGAGTGTATAAAAGCTGGCCATACACCTTACAACCATCACACGACTTTCGTTGTGCGATGGATGTAAGGTGATTAAAATTTCGTACGACCTCCCCATCATGGACAGGCAGATCGTACTTGCGATCATCGCAAGGCCTCCCCGCTGAGGGGAGGGCCTGCAGATGATTGCAATGCTGAGCGGGCAGTGTGCACTTGCGCACCTCGGGCCGTGCAGCTTTCGTTTTGCGATCGAGTTACCAACCCCCTGAAAATCGTAGATTTTCGGCGGGTTTTCTAGCGTGCTCGTTATACGAAAATCGTACGATAATCGTCAGGTGTATTGGCAGATTTAGGCTACATTCACACCTGTATCTTTAGGTGCATTTAGAAATTCCTGCATCAGGAACTTGTGTTTTCCTGCAGCAGGAATGCCTAATCTGGTGTTTACAAGTGACAGATATCGCCTATTCAAGTTAATGATCAAATGACAGCAGCTGCATGTAATGGAATGTGATATGATTACATTTGGTTAGGAATCAGTCACTCTCCCTGTACGCATCAATTGTGCAACCAGGGAGAGTGTTTTCTAACCGCATGTAATCATATCACATACAATTACATGCGGTATGCAGGCGTTTACATGCAGCGGCTATCACCTGATCATTACCTTGAATGGGTGACAGCTGCCACTTGTAAACACAAGATTAGGCATTCCTGCTGCAGAAAAACGCAAGTTCCTGATGCAGGAATCCCTATATGGACCTAAAATAACAGATATGAATGGGGCCTTATTGTGTGTGTATTGGGGTCCGTTGTACCATACTGGATATAATGACATTTTATTTTGATGGACGAAATTTGGCAAGTGGCCTCATGGGAGTCAAATGAGTTTGAGACCCCTGCCTAAGGGCTAGTTCACACCAGAATCTCGTGCGTCTGCAAGAGGTGTTTGTTGCTTAAAATGGGATTTCAGGTGCGTTCCGATAGGGCAAGCAGTATTTTCTCTGGCTAAATCGGAACGGACTGCACTGCTGTGAATAGAGCACAAGAATTACGATAGAAAAGCACTGTGATGCGTTTTTGATGCAGCTGCAAAACGGAACGGACTGCATCACAACTGAATCTGGTGTGCACTGGCCCTTAACCCCAATTGACAATCATTCCAGATGCATCAAAGCAAAAGCTGTACAAAATCCTACAGTTTGCTTTTAGAAAGCAGCCACAATCTGAGTAGAAGAGCCTGTCCCCTGCCAGCACACCATAGAGTACAACCCTTGCTCTCTGTGTGGAAGCAGTGGTCTCTCTGCAGAGGTCTGACACACGTTCTGTTGCATCAGAGCTAGAGCTCTAGAATCATGCAGCAACCATGAGCTCTGCCGACTGCAAAGGTGTGATTTCTGGCAGGATCAACAGGTATTTTTTGCACTTACCAAACGGTTATAACAAAATGCTTCCAATGGTGTATATAACAGACCAAAAGGGAGCAAATATGAGAAGTTCAGTGTTGGGGTTTCCATACACCTTGAAGGGGTTTGTTTATCAAAGTTCCGCCCGGGGTGCCGATCGCATGGCACGAACGCCCCTAGGTGACCTATACTCATCAGCACCATCAAGGGGTGCTAGTGTCACACGAATGCATCTGCCTGACACAACTTTTCTAAGGCCCCATTCACACCGCATGCGTTGGCATCAGTTTTTTTTTTTTCAACAGATGCCAATGCAAAGACATCTGAAAATGAATGGCTGTAAATGGGAGCAGTTCAATGCAATGCAACGGACATCAGCGCAAGGCAGAACCAATACCCTATATAGCTTACTGTAAAAATTAAACAAAACAAATCCCCCCCCCAAATAGCAATGTAACGCAAAGCATGTTACGCACTATGCCAATGCATGTGAACGCACTCCTGTTGGGTCACGTCCAACGCACACATTTCAGTGTGAATGCACCCTAAATGCATCCTCAGGTATTTGTACATACCAGAATCTATGACTGAATCCTCATCACATAGCAAAACTAAAACAAAACAGACACTCCTTATAAGAAACGCAGGCTGAAGCCAAAACAGCGACTGAACGCGCAAGGCCGCGCACAATCTGTCACCAATCGCCCGTCTGCCACATACTGTAGGGAAAACAATTGCGCACTCACCGTCTTCTAAGCTCCGTAGAAGGAACAAACACTGACACCTCTGTTACATTATATCGTCTCCTCAGAACGCACAAAGGATCAGAGAAGTGCACAGAGAAGTGCGGATGGACAAAGAGCGCAGAGCGTTGTCACCTCCCCCCCTTCCCGATAATGACAGGAGACCCTCGGGTCGTTCTGTGACTTGGAGGAGTCGGCGAGGACGGGTAATGCTCCGGAGATGCCACAATTGCAGACACAATTTCCTTGCGCGGCGATACAACTTGTCCCCTGACGGGGGAGAGGAACAAAGTGGCGATTATACGAGCAGCTAAATAACACGGCGGAGGGGAAGGGAGGCTAAATTTGGATGCGCGAGATGCCGCTTTGTAATTTGAAAGAGACATAGAGAGATAATGCTGCAAGAAGGCTGCAGAGGCTCCTCTGAGGGGCACGGCCACAAAATCCAGCAAACGCAGGATCTGAATAATGTATAGATCTAAATCCTAACTGCTCCATGCATTGTGCATCAAACAACTGCCATGTGTTCCCCATAAAATCTCCTCTTTATCATCCTTTTCCCCATCTTAGTGCTGCTGAACCCCGCCAGCCTCTTTCAGCCACTTCCTGTCTATACGCACATCATTGCTCTGGACTGGCTCCCTGATGCCTGTGCAATCGGCACAGGCGTTTCTAGTCTCCATCAGGGGAAGTATGCAGCAGGGTGACAACACAGGAGCACAATCGAAAAACAGTTGTCACCTGAAAACAGGAAGTGTCTGAACAAGCACTCTGTACTTACAGATGTACAAATGATATGCACCTGTACATTAAAACAAAGAAATCATTAAAGTGGAACTGCAGACAAAACACACTGAACACCCAGTGGATCTACTGATACAGGAATGGTTTTACACGCCAAAAGATTTTTATTTCTGTTCAATCTTGTGATTCCAACATCCCACCAGATTGGTCACAGACCAGCCAAACTGACTGCTGATTGGTCAATAAAAAAGCAGCAGCAGGTAATTACATTACCGGTTCATTTTGTCAAGAACTGCACAGGCAACAGGGTTTGTATGACTGGGTCCTCTCGGTGAGAGGTAACACACATGTAGTCACACTAGTACATTACTTAGCATGCATGGACTTAACCTGAAAATATATATCCAAATACTAAGCCCACTAGGACTGCCTGCAGGTTTTGTCAGAATGTTTGCAGTATCCCTTTAAATAATGTCTATTTTTAATACACACACACACACACACACACACACACACACACACACACACACCAAAGACGTGGGGGGTCACAAAGTGGTCCCATTTTGAAGGATGACTGCACATCGCATTATAAAAACACACAAAGAGGCTGAAAACATAAACAGAAAAAAAAGAGAAGGAGACGAAAGCCTGGGAAGAAGGAGTTCCTGAGGCCATGATAACTCATCTGGGAAACGGCTGCGGACGGCAGTCACCGAAAGGTCAACAAAAGTCAATTCTGCAATGAGAAACGCACCAAGATCGGCTTCCTGCGCCTGCCCATCGGATGTGGCGGATTCCGCACTGCTCAGCAGCCCGCCAACGTACAGGACGCAAATGACAGAGGTTACATAAAGAACACAAAAATACAGCGTGTGAACAACATGTACTAAAAAAATAATATATGTAATATAAATGTAGTGTGTATAGTTTTATATATATATTATTATTCCAAAAGAAATTATACACATTTATAATAATACTAATAATAATACTACAATGGTTTATTTTTTTGTTAGAACTTTATTGACAATTGTATTAAGTTCTCTTGGCACAGCGTAGTGAGTGAGTCACATCTTACCGCGCTGAAAAAAAACAACTGCATGCCAGTAGCAGCTTTTTTTTCCCTGAACACCATTGTGTTGCCCATTTTAAACCAAAGCAACATTGCCCTGTTCATGTATTGGGGCTGTGCTGAAAAACACTCCAGCTGTTGTAGAACTACAAGTGCCACAAGGCATTGCAAGACTTTTAACAGCCACAGTCATGACTCAGAGGTAGAGGCATGATGGAATTAGTAGTTTCAGCATAGCTGGGGGGCCTGGGTTGCCTTTTCTTTATGTAAAACAAACGGCCTTCTTCAAGCCGCTGAACCTTTGCGTTGCCGAGCTGCAGCCAAGCGCTACTATCTGCTCCGCACAGCTCCGACCACAGATTTCTCATTCACCAACTCACAAGACTCCCGGCTGATAACAAGTCACGGTTTGTGCAGAAACAAAAAGTCTTTTCAGAGTCCGACGTGTTTACCGAGGCCGCGCTGGCCATGTGACCCAACCCCAAAAAGCCATCATGACTATGTATATTCTAACTGTTCTAACACACACATCAATCTGGAGCAGAAACTCTGGAGCAGTTGCCCCGTGGCAACAAATCAGCTTCTCTTTTCAGTTTGTTCAGCTAAGATTTGAAAATGAAAGAAGCTGATTGGTTGCCAGGCACAGCTGCTCCAGTTTTGATAAATTCCCCCAACACACATGATTAAATCACTCACAATGGACGCTGCTCCTTCATGTGTGAGGTTAGGTTCAGATATGGGCGCTCCCGGAACGTTTGATCGTGCATGGTTGCACACAGCGATTGCCCTGCAGCCCCATTGATTTCAATAGGGTTATATCCGCACAACAATCAGCGCAGCAATCGCTGAAAAAAGGTACATGCACCTTTTTTTGTGACACACACCACCCGTTTTTTTGAACCGAGATCGTGTGTGATTGCATGGGCGATATCGTGGTGGGAAACGGCGCAATCTGCCTGGCGCGACTGGGGTGCCATTGGAAAATAATGGAAACGTCAGCGCGATCGGCGGCGGTGTGTGAATCCGTGGCCATCCGCGTGGTTTTGTGCACAATTTCCACACGGTCACGGATCGCCCTAGTGAGAACCTAGCCTAAAAGTTTGTTTCCTGTAAAAATCAGCTTGTTCCTTGAGTACTGGTCCCGATATCCTGTTTTAGGGAGGCTCCTTTCCATTACGGGTTCCTATGGAGTCACCCTTGTGTGCGTGTACAAGCTGTGTGCGTCCCCTCAAACACACAGGCACAGCAAGGCAAGACGCTTCCCAGCTCCCTAATCATCTATCCTTCTCTGAGCTAGTCGATGGACAGCTGCTGGAGAGTGCTCTGTCCCTTGTCATCTTTTACTGGCCTGAGCTGAGAGAGTTGGAGCGGTTTGGAAACATGACGATTGGAAGTTATTGGTGAAAAAATGGTAAGTAATCCTTTGCTGGGCGATGTGTATTTGTCTGATCATGGAAAAAAAGCTTGAGAGTTTCATACTACTTTAATTCATTCAGCTTAAAGGATATCTACACCCAACAATAAAATGTAATATATTGCAGATTACCAAACTAAAACTAAAGCGGCCATCACATCTAAGGACCGGTAAGCCGCAATATATTCTTGTCCTTGGATTGGGATACACTTGTACCGGGTCAGAATTGGAGGTTACATTTCATCTTCTCTTATAGGGGAACGTTTGGTTTGTTGTTAAAGAATATCTGTGGTCAAAAACTAAAAATAAATCTGGATTCGTATATGTTCTATCCCGTTCCTAATAACCAGATCCATCTAGAAATTTGTAAACTTACTCATTGAAGATGCCCATAGGACGGACTTCCTCAATGCGCTGACACCATTTCACTCTGAGTTCTGGCCAACTATCCATGACACACAATGCAGTTCCAGCCATCAGTAGACCTCCCCCATTAACCGCCTACAAGAACCAGCGCTCAGCTGAGCAGAGATTCAGATTTATCACTTTACACCTTTTACAAATAACAAAGTGCAACACTAAAAATGGTTATAAAAATTCCCTGGCACATGTGCTACGGATCAGCCATGTTGTGGCCCCAGGGCGGCAGGGGCGGACAAGCCCGCACAAGAGCGGGAGACACAGACTTGCAGAATTGGATAATGACAGATTGTTTAGTCCCTTTACCATCTACTTCCCTGATGTGTCACTGCCGAGAATTATACCGCCGTTCCAAACACGTCCCTGCATGCCACAGGACAGAACATGCTCAATACAGCTTGGAATCAACACAAACACCCTAGAAATGGGGTTTGTGTGTGTGTATACACACACACACACACTTGCCAAAAGGTATTGGGACACCCCTCCAAATCATTGGATTCAGGTGTTCCGTGAAATTTCCTTGCTACTAAATATAGAAGTGGTAGGCCACGTAAAATGACAGAGCTGGGTCAGCGCATGCTGAAGCACACGGTGTGCAGAAGTCGCCAACTGTCTGCAGAGTCACTAGCTACAGACCTCCAAACTTCGTGTGGCCTTCAGATTAGTAGAGAGCTTCATGGAATGGGTTTCCATGGCCGAGCAGCTGCATCCGAGCCTTACATCACCAAGTGCAATGCAAAGCGTGGGATGCAGTGGTGTAAAGCACGCCACCACTGGACTCTAGAGAAGTGAAGACGTGTTTCTGGAGTGACGAATCACGCTTCTGTATGGCAATCCGATGACCCCACGACCATCACCAGGAGAAAGAAGAGGGCACCTGAATACCACCTAAATGAACTGTAAGTCCCTTTTCTTTCTTCCTTATACTGCTGACCTCGGCAACGTGCGCTACTGACCTCTGTAATGTGCGTTACAGCACTGACCTCTGTAACTTGCATTGCAGCGCTGGTGTGTTTAGGGGCGGGGCTACCTAATAATCGACTAACTAATCGATTTTGGAAATAATCGTTAGCTGCAGCTCTAATAGTAATTATATATATATATATATTTATTATCACACACACACTTGGCTGACATTTCTAGAAATACATGGCACATGTGACTTTCCCTTATTAAAGCAATCTAGTATCTGATATATACTTATACTGAGTGCAGTGAAGCAAGTATTATATACATGTAACACTTCCAGGTATTGATTACAGATTACAGTGCTGAGTGCTCCCCCCAACAATGTCTTCATCTGCTTCTCTGTCCAGGACAACAGAGCCATCTTTGTTCAGGCATCATCCAGGGTCACCATCTACTTCCTGGACTGAGATGCCGGCTCAGAGATGGCAGTCATCTAAATCCTGGTGTCTGCGCAGT